TTGCTTTGTCAGGGTTTAGGAGAAGCTGAGAGCGTCCTCCCACCTGCCTGCTTTTGCCCTGAACAAGACAACTGCAGGCCTGCTGGTTGCCATGGTGGTGTGGAATGAGTTTCCTTTGCTGTCAAAGGCAGTTCTGACCCCACTGGGGGAGCCCTCCTGAGAGATGTGTGGGAGCCCAGCAAAGCAGGGGGGGCTCCAGCTGAAGGGAACCAGAGTGAAGTCTTGATTCTCTTTGGGAATGTGTAGGAAAAGAGGGAGAAAGCACAAATCTTTGTTTTTTTCCTGTGGTAACAGGATGTGCATTTATTATTTTTGGACAATTGGCATCCTTTAGAATGTCTTCACCCCGCACCCTCTGGTATTGTATCCACCCCCAGGAATTTACAGTTTCCTGAACAACTCAGCCACCTTATGTCTGGTCATTCCTTTAACTTTTTTCTGGCCTGTTGGCCAACACCCACTCATCTACAGATTTGGCCAAATTTGCGGAGGACAGTCTTGGTGTGGCACTGTGGGTTAATGCCCTGGACTGCAAAGTCGGTTTGAACCACAAGGCTGACAGTTCAAGCATACCAGCTGCTCATGGGAAACCCTATACAGGGTCACTATGGAACAGACTCGACGGCATTTAACAGCAACAATTTTGTGAGGGCACCATAGCTCTGTAGGAGAACCACTGGACTGCGAACCACAGGGTCGGTGGTTGGAGCCCAGCATCCACTCCATGGGAGAACAAAGATATATAGCCTCCGAAGCTCTATGCAGTCAGAACTTAGAAACCACAAAGTTATGTGGGTGGTACAGATATTAAGTGCTCTCCTTACTAACTGAAAGACTGGAGATTCAAGACTACCCAGAAACCACCTTGGAAGTGAGGTTTGGTGATCTAGTCCCCCACATCAGTCACTGGAAACGCTCTAGAGCACAGTTGTACTCAGACACATATGGGGTTGCTGGGACTTGGGGTGAACTTGATGGCAACTAGTGTTATGTGCCAAGATGAATCAAGTTCAAGCCCAGTGTTTGAGGAGATCAGAGTCTGCCAAATTTCACTATGCTGTAAGATGTGTGGTATTAGACCTGTAGACAAGGAGGGTTCACAGCCAGGACTTAACAGGGACAAGGTGAGGTGGACCGAGAATGAGTCCCATGCATGGTAATATCTTAGCCGGAGAGAACAATGAAGAAGTAGAGGAAGAACATTCCAGACAAAAGGTGTAACATAAGCAAAGGCTTCAGAATACTCAAGAACTACCAGTAGCTTGGAATCCCTGGGTAGTGTCAACTGTGAACACAATCAGCTTCTAATAGAAAGGTTGAGTTTGACTCCACCCAAAGGTGCCTTTGAAAAAAAGACATGGAGATACATTAAAAAAAAAAATAAGCCATTGAAAAATCCTGCAGACCACAGGATTACTCTGATACTCATCACCTGATGGCAATTGTTCAACCGGTAGATGGTTTTACCTGAAGGATTGTAGCAAGAGATGTAATAGGAAGAAGCAGTGGTCAGTGGAGTCCACTGGCTATGCTAAGGAGTCTGGATCACATCCTCCCCACAGTAGCAGCAAGTGAAAGACCTTGTTTCTACAAGTATCCAAGTACACCGAGTATTGGCAATCTGTACTTATAACTGAGATGGGTAACAGGCTTTATTATTTTCATTCCACAAAGAAAAGAGGAGAGATAATTTATCTAAGATCACACAACCAGTTTGTGGCAGAAATATAAAATAATATGGTCATTTGAGCCTAGTCAACTGTTATGTGCCGTGGAGTCAGTTCCAACTCATAGCACCCTGTACAGGGTTTCCGAGGCTATAAATCTTTACGGGAGCAGAAAGCCTCATCTTTCTCCCACGGAACAGCTGGTAGCTTCGAACTGCTGACCTTGTGATTCGCAGCCCGATTTGTAACCACTACGCTACCAAAGCTCCTTAGTCAACTGTGGCCCACGCTAAATTATACACCACTCCCCAAACAGTTTGAACAACAAGCTTGGTGGTTCAAGCTCACCAGCTGCTCCTTGGAAACCCTATACAGGCTTGCTATGAGTTGGAATCTACTCTAGGGTGCTTAACAACAACCACAGTAACAATTCCAAATAGTATGGACCAGGCTAATTTCAGAAGGAGCACGGGTGTGGGGTGGTTCTGTAGAATAAACACTGGACGTCTAACTACAAAGTTGGTGGTTCAAACCCACCAACTGCTCCTTGTGAACCCTATATAGGATTGCTATGATCTGGAACCAACTCGACAGCACTTAACAACAATAACAATTTCCTAAAGTAATACCATCTTGGTATTTTGCAGATAGGAGGCACTGATTACAGCTTACTAATGAATTTTGTACTATTGACGTACATATAAAGGAAAATACGTATTCAAAGACCTAAGGAACAAACTCTTTCACAACACATATTTTCCCTTGATTGTTTGCTTCATTTTCTAACGTGTTTTGATTGTTTCCCTGACTTTTGTCTATAATATCTTTATGTCCTTCTCTTAGCATTCAGTTCTGCCTTAAAGCTATTACATGGTGATAGTATTCTTTCTGCCACTTAACTGTTTTCTATATATTCCCTTTTATTCCAGAATTAGGATTCTTAGGCTGGAAAGGAAGCCTAGAATTTCCTTCAACTACTTTCTGATGAGCTTGCCAAGTAGCAAGCTCTACATGGATACTACATTCAGAGAAGTTTCAGTGTAATTTTAGAACATTTTCAGTGTCTGGAAAAGTCTTCCATGTCTGAGCCGATTTCTCCTTCCCCGAGAGAACATTCTTGACTCCTTCAAGCAGTTCCTCATTCATCAAAGAGTATTGACGCCTAGATATACTCAGCATCACTGCAGACCCAGGGATACAAAGATGAATGAGCCTTGTGCTTTGCCCTCCATTCGCAGGTTGTTAATGGATCTTTATCCAATTCTGATGCTACATTCTTCATATAATCCAGCTTCTTTAGAAACTATTTCTTCAGAACATGCTGACTTTGTGCCCTTCCTTCTTAACAACCTACAAAGACCTTTTGTGAAGCATTTCCTGGGGTGGTTTAATCTGGTGTTGAAGGCAATCAATGGGGAGAATCTTTCCCTCCTGTCGCACTGCACACCCCAAGTTGTGTTAATTGGCACTCGGGCACCTTCTGTCATGTCTTGTTGCTTAATTAAATGCACATTTGTTTTGAGTGTTCCTTTTACTCTACTATTTGTTTCATGCATGAAAGGATAAAAACAAATGAAGAAAACATTCTATAGTTAAATTAGTTTGTGGGAAACAGTCCTGAGTCATAACTCTCTATAGTTTTGGTGCCCTTTTATTCCAATGCCTTTGTTTTCCAACAAAACCACAAAACAGTTGATTATTGCCCCTCTTCTTTCTTGCCTCTCTAGAGCTTCACCATAACCTCTGACACGAATTTCTAGTGCCTTTTTCTTGATTTAGAAATATCATAAAAATAATATCTAATAAACCTCTGTTGTTGTTGGTTGTTAGGTGCCATCAAGCTGGTTCTGACTCATAACGACTGATGCACAAGAGAAAGAAACGCAATTGTAGCTACGTTTGAGCCTATTGCTGCTGCCACTGTGTCAACCCATCTTGTTGGGGGGTCTTCCTCTTTTTTGATGACCCTGTACGTTACCAAATATGATGTCATTCTCCAGGGACCGATCCATCTTGATAACATGTGTTAAGTATGAGAGATGAAGCCTTACCATCCTGGCTTCTAAGGAGCATCTAGTTGTACTTCTTCCAACACGGATTTGTTTGTTCTTCTGGCAGTCCATGCTACTTTTATATTCTTCTCCAACACAATAACTCACATACATCAATTCTTTTTCAGTTTTCCTTATTCATTGCCTGACTTTTGCATGCATATGAGGCTATTGAAAATACCATGACCTGGGTCAGGCACACCTTAGTCCTCAAACTGGCATCTTTGCTCTTGAACACTTCAAAGAAATCTTGTGCAGCAGATTTGCCTAATGCAATACATTGTTTGATTTCTTGACTGCTGCTTCTATGTGTGTTGATTATAGATCCAAGCAAAATGATTTGACAAGTTCAATCTTTTTCTCCGCTTATCATGATGTTAACTATTTTGTGAGGATTTTTGTTTTCTTTATATTGAAGTGCAATCTGTAATGAAGGCTATAGTCTTTGATCTTCATCAGTAAGTATTTTAAATTATTTTCACTTTCAGCAAGCAATTCTAATACATAGCGATCCTGTATAGGGTTTTTGAGGAGCATCTGGTGGATTTGAACTGCCAACCTTGTGGTTCTCACTCTAGTGCTGATCTTAAAGGGCTACACGAGGAGTCCATAAACTATATAACAATTACATATTTTTCATGATTTTTTTCTATCCTCTCTCTCAATACTATCAAGCACTGTGTTCATAAGATCTTTCTTTCTTTTTTCTTTTTATTGCCCATAACATCATTGGGTAGTCATTCCATACAACTGCAAGTGAGATTTCGGCATAAGCCAATTTTCTTTCCCATATGAATGATATCGAAAAGCAAAGCGTGCCTTCTCAAGTCACCATCTATCATTGTAATAAGTATTTATCAACAGACCTAATTATACACAGGACTCCTGGTGTGGCACTGTAGGCTAAGCACTGAACTGTTAACCTAAATGTCGGTGGTTCAAACCCACCAAGCGCTGCTCAGAAACCCTGCACACACAGGGTCGCTATGAGTGGAAATTAATTCAGTGGCATGTTACATCAACAACAACAAACTATTCACAAGTCAATAAAAAGTTTAGCCAACCTTTCCTTGTCAAACTAGGGACTTGGTAGGGGAAAACCCATACGAGGAAAAATTAGAAATTTGAAGTATCTGTCTTTATGAGGTTTATATGATCAGAAGGAAGGCAAGGATTTCTCTTATCTAAGAGGAAGCCTTTGCAGAAGGGATTAAAATAAAAACTAGAGAATTAAGGATGGCATGTTGCAAAATCCATCAAGCTATTAATAATAAGCACTTACTTGCATGAATAGTTATCCCATAGGCGACCAGTTTGTGGAATTTGAGGTTTTTGTCTAATTGTCTCCTCCATAGGCCTCGGCAGCACTAGAGGGTCAAAAAAATACAAGCCTGATTCGGGGGGGCCATTGTCATAGCGGTGGGGGGTCATGACAGTGTCTTGATAGAACAGCTCAGGTGACAAAGCTAACCAACAACCAAACTAAGTTGTTGTAATGTGATTCCAGCTCACAGTGACCTTATAGCACAGGGTGGAACTGCCCCTTAATTATGGGTGTAGACAGCCTCATCATTCTCTCTCAGAGGAGCTTGTGGGTTCGAACCACCAACATTATAGTTAGCAACCCAATATTAACCCACTGTACCATCAACGCTCCTGCATTTCAGAGGAGGAATGTTAAAATCAAGACAGTTCATTCATTTGCTACCTTTTTCATGTGCTTCTTTGATCTGCCTTGGAAGTGAAGTACCAAGCTCTGGGACAACTTCAAGGATCCCATCTTCCCCTCGCCTGTAAACCTGGTTCTTAGCCAGGCTCTGATCAGCAGCCAAGACACTTGGACCCTGCAGAAAAGTCTGAGGTTCATCTGGACGGCTGGTTTCCACAGAGTTATTGGGTTCCAAGGCTGTAACCTTTACCAAAGCAGGCTGCCACATCATTCTCCCACATAGCAGTGGGTTTGAACCCACCGACTTTCAATTTGCAGCAGAGTGCTTAGCCACTGGGCCACGCAGGGCTCCTTGGTGACAAAGTTAGTGGCTCATCAACCAAGCAGGCAAAAACAAAGGCTGCCAATCGCTGTACTCAAATTGCAACTTGATAAAAGTATTGGAATTGGTAGTCCTCTGACTAGAGCTCAAAAGTTTTGAATGACCCTGCTGGTGTTCACACTTCAGTTTCTTCATTTACAAAGGAAGGTGATAACCGTCTTCCATGTGGTTTAAGCAAACTATAAGTTATTCCTTATCAAACAAAGAAAGATACTATTTGCATCTACAGAATCAGTGGACAGTGCAAAAGGTTATCTTACTTAGCTGCTAACTGAAAGGTGATCACCTGGCCATCTACTTAAAAAAACATCAGCCATTGAAAACCGTATGGCGCACAGTTCTACTCTGACACATGGTGGGTCTCTATGAATTGGAATCAACTCAATTGCAACTGGACTGTATTAAATTATAGGGTTTCCAAAGCATGACTGGTGAGTTTGAACCACTGAAGTTGTATTCAAACCAACCTTGCAGTCTAGAGCATTATAACACAGCACCACACCAGAACTCCTTTATATCTATGTTGTTGTTAAATGCTGTCGAGTCGGTTCCGACCCATAGTGACCCTGTATAGGGTTTCTGAGGAGCGACTGGTGAGCTTGAACTGCCAATCTTGCAGTTTAAACCGACTTTGCAGTCCAGCACATTAACCCATAGAACCACAGAATCATAAAATTTTGTGTTTTTTGTTGGTTTGTTTGTTAAGTGCCATTGAGTCGGTTGCAACTCATAGCAACCCTGTATAGGGTTTCCAAGGAGTCACTGGTGAGTTTGAACTGCCAACCTTGTGATTCAAACCAACCTTGAGGTTGTGTGCTTATTCTATAGTGCCACACACAAAACCAGGATGACAATTACATTCTCATTTATGTATCCTAGTCATGCTTACTGAAGGTCTCATTTACTGCGCAAGGTATTGCTTTCTTTGACAAAAAGCAAAGATAAGTCCCAACACAGTGAAATCCATATAATTAGGGTATTTCTAGAAAAGGTTAAAAATCCACATAGACGCATTGGGACTGTGCTGTCTGAATTCTCAGACAGATGTTTCTTTAGTGGCATTGGGCACAGGTATTTATTTGTCTTATTTCAGTTACAAATGGTACTAGTTCAGCTGTTATAATACCTCATATCTCTACAAGTCAGGTTTATTGTATTAGCCCTGTTTTTCAGATGGAGCATTGTAGCAGGCAAAGGTTGACCAGTGAGTCCAATGTCATGTGACAAATCAACGGTAGAAGCAAGAGTCCATCAGCTGTACCAATTACTGAATTCCAGTGTTAGACACTGCATTCTCTCTTTCCAAGAAACAAACCTCTGTGTCTACAGGGCTATTAGGAACTTCACCATAAAGTCTATCTCGGTGTTCAGTGGCACTTGCATGAGTAAATCAGAACAACTGAGATGAATGCAAATATCGAAGTACTTACGGTATGTGTCCCTCTCATGAGTGAAATAAAGTTTCGACTGACTGGTAATAGGATTAGCATGCAGTTAAAATTCAGACACACAGCGGAAGCTCGAGCCCAGGCCAGTGCTGACTGTCCATCCACACATGAAGAGACAAAGAAAGACACACAATGAAAACTAGGAAGTGGAAAGAAAGAAAAATGCATTTTGTTTTCTGAAATTATAATGAGTAGCTACCAACTCTACTTACACCCAACATAACTCGTGTGTACAGAAATGCATCCTCCTCTTCATACCAACAGAATGTGTCTATAAACAGATAGAAATTTACTCCCAGCCATAAGAGCTAGAGTCAGGAGAAAAGAAGACCAATCAATAAACCTTTTCCTTCAATCTTTTCCTGTATTCACAGTCACCAGAAGTCTTTCTTTAAAGTAAAACGAGACACTTCTAAATATTAATCAGAATTACTCCAAACACTTGTGCTTCATAGTTTAATTTTCACAATAATTATAATGGAACAATCGTTACCTTCCAAAAAAGATTTCAGACACATATGGGTATAATTTTAGCAACATAATGAATGACACAAAACCTTTCTGAGAAGCAGGGGGGCACTGCTTTAAGTTGATGGTGTCGAGAAGAAGGGGAAAATCTTTCAAAACAACTCAGAGAGTACTCTAGAAAAATTCCAATTTCATAGCCTAATTCAAAGGCTTCATTTGATTTAGAGAAACATTCATACATTATGCAAAAAACAAACTACTTGACTTTAAAAGTAATTAAAAATGAACTCAATTGGAAAACAACTTTACATGATTCTGTAAGGGTAAATTAAATATATCTCCTGAATGTTTTCTAACAAGTTTAGCTTTTTTAACCGAAGTAACACTTCAAGCTACTTAGCATTCCTATGCAAGTCATCCTAAAAAATCAAAGACTATTCAATATATAGATTTAGAGTTGAATATCAAAAGTGATACTTACAACTAATATGATAGAAAGACTCTCATTCAAAATCCAACAGCCCATACTGACAGTCTGATCTCTCTGCTGTCAGCAGATGATTCCTTCTGGTTCCCAGAACCTGGAGGCTCTGTCCTGGGGAAGGAATTCTCTACTCAAATGGTTTTGTCTTTTCATCTTAAGAAACACCAACTGGGAGCAGCTCTCTAGGAATTTCTAATTACAGACTTTGTGTCTAAGGCATGCCTCCTGACCTGGCTCAACCAAAGGAAACTCTCTGTCTAGTGACTCCTTTCTTCAAAGACTTCATAAGCAAAGGAAGTGTGTTTTATCAAATGATCCTTTGTACTTTATACTCCATTCATCTTCTACATGATCACAGCCAAGATGACAACATCTCTTCAAGTAAATTGGAGAAATAGCCAAACTGTGAACGCTACTGGTAGCAAAACACTTTTACTTGTGTTTTCTCTACTTTGTTGACTTTTGTTTCTTTAGCTCCTTTTCCCATCTTTAGAAGATACCTCCATTCTGGTGGTGGTGGTGGTGGTGTGCTGTCTAGTCTCGACTCATAACAACCCTGTATAGAGTTTCTGAGGCTGTAAATCTTTATGGGAGCAGAAAACCTCATCTTTCTCCTGAGAAGCAACTGGTAGATTATAACTGCTGTTTTTGTGGATAGCAGCCCAGCTCATAATTCACTAAACTACCAGGGCTCCTATAGTCATTGTAAGTTAAGGTAAAATTAGTTCCTATAATTTAAATGTGTCCAACTTATGGAAATGCCATTTTAATCCACATACTAATTGTCTTTGAAGTACAAATTAAAATTTTTGTGTTTCATGAAATACTAATTTTAAGTGAGGGATAAAGGGTTATATGGTTTAAACAGTCTTTTGGAAGATGGTGAGGAGAAAATAAAAGGATCCAAAAAATCTACAGAAAGGAAAATTCGTAAAACTAAAATTGTGACCATAAAGAATGAGATAGATTTGGATGTATTTGAGGGTGGTTGATAGAATAAGCCTCTTGTTTTCTGAATTCCACTTGGTTCATTGATGAGGTAGTGAGAACAGGCTTTCACTTCTTACCATACTAATTCTAGGAGTGGCCGATGTGAGGCTGGCTCTTCCTTGATTTGATGTAAGTCATAGTTATTCAGTGTAAGGACTATGATGCTAAGTCTGGTAAGAAAAGTTGTCATGATTAAAGTAATTCTCTGGCTAGTTCTGGCCCATATAGCCATTTATAATTTTTTAGACAATTAAGACAAAAATAGAAGGAGGCTGTGCTATCTGGCTAATTACCTAATTACCTCCTTGTGTCTTCATATGGTAGATCTGTTTAGTTATCCTAAAAGAAACTTTTAAAATCAATCAATCAGACAAAGAAACAAACAAAAACCTGGTAAGAATATTAATTGTAAGAATGCGCTGTCATGTATTTATCCAGCCACTAGGTTAAGAATTTTTCAATTATTGTCTCATTAAATCACATATCGACACAAGGAAGTTGGTATTACAAGCACCGTCACAGAAACATGAAGACAGGTTCAGATCACGTAACTTATATTTAGAGCAGTTAGGACTTGAACCCATTCATTTTTTATATTACTGTATTTACTTATTTATTTTAATTTTTTTGAAATTAAAAAAAGTAAGCATTTATTTTTCACTTACAGTTTGTATGTTAAATGAAGAGATTCTGCTCATAGTTAGGAAAACATTTTGTTCAGTACATATTTTTTGTTTTTACTTTGCACTTTTTTTTTTAAATGTTTTTATTGTGAACTGAGTAATAATTTGCATGGGAAAACATTTACTATATTTATTTTAAATCTCTATTATTATTTGGCTGTTGTTGTTATGTGCCATCGAGTCTATTCTAACCCATAGTGACACTATATAAGGTTTCCGAGGAGCAGTTGGTGAGCTTGAACCATTGACCTTGCAGTCCAGTACATTAACCCACAGCACCAGACTAGGACTGAAAAAGCATTTCAACAAGATGTGTTTTATTGACTATGCAAAGGCACTTGCTATGTGGATCATAACAGGCTCTGGGTAACAGTGCAAAGAATGGGAATTTCAGAACATTTTATTGCTCTTATGCGGAACTTGTACTTAGACAAAGAGGCAACATTCGAACTGAACAAGGAAATGTTGGGAGTTTAAAATCAGTAAAGGTATGTGTCAGGGTGTATCCTTTCATTATATTCACTCTATCTGTATGCTGGAAGGAGCTCTGGTAGCGTAGTGGTTATGAATTTGGCTGTGAACCGCAAGGTCAGCAGTTCGAAACTACCAGCTGTTCCACGGGAGAAAGATAAGGCTTTCTGCTCCCGTAAAGATTTACAGTCTCGGAAACCCTGTGCAGGGTCGCTATGAGTCGGAACCGACTCCACGGCACACAACAACAACAACAATCTGTATGCTGAGCAAATAATCTGAGCAGATGGAATATATGAAGAAGAATGAAGCATCAGGATTGGAGGAAGACTCATTTACAATCTGCAATATGCAGATAACTCAGTTTTGCTTGTGAGAAGCGAAGAGGACTTTGATGGAATTCAAAGCCTTCAGTATTGATTATATCTCAACATAAAGTAAAAAAAAAATCCTTACAACTGGACTCATTAAACAGCATCATGATAAATGGAGGATATTAAAGTTTTCATGGACTTTATTTTATTTGGATCCATAATCAATGCCCATGGAAGTAGTAGTTGAGAAATCCAAAGACGTTTTATTATATTGGACAAATCTGCTGCCAAGTGTTAAAAAAGCAATCATGTCACTTTGAAAACTAAAGTGCGCCTGAACCAAGTCATGATATTTCCAATTGCCTCATGTACATGTGAAAGCTGGACAATAAGTAAAGAAGATTGAAGAATTGATGCCTTTGGATTATGATGTTGGAAAAATGTTGAATAATTCCATGGACTGCTAGAAGAAGTCCAACCTCCTTAAAAGTGAGGAAGATGAAACTTCAGCTCACATACTTTGGACATGCTATCAGGAGGGATCAGTCTCTGGATAAAATAGTCTACTGGATCAGTCTACTGGACAAAATAGAGGGTCAGTAAAACAGAAAAGGACCCTCAGCGAGATGGATTGATACAGTGGCTACAGCAAAGGGATTGAACATACAATTGTGAGGATGGCACAGGACTAGACAGTGTATTGTTGTATGACACACAGGGTCGCGATGAGTAGGAACTGACTCAATGGCACCTAACAACATAATAATTTTAGCCATTACATTATACTGACATTTTCATGTAATACTAATATTTATCCTTCAAATATACATGATGCATAGGTAAAAATTACATTCCCATAATTGGTGGTGGTTATGTGTTGTGGAGTTGGGTCCAACTCATAGCAACCCTGTATATGGTTTCTGAGGCCTTCTTTCTCCCGTGGAACAACTGGTAGTTTCAAACTGCTGACCGTGAAATTATCAGCTCAACTCATAACCACTATGTTACCAGAGCTCCTTTTCTCACTATTAGACACATTTAAATTATAGGAAAGAATTTAATTTACTTCGTTATAATTTGTGTATTGCAATAGTGATTCAACATGGCATTTATTTGCATAAAATAATAGTATATATTAGAAAAATAAACAAGTTATCTTATATTCAGAAAGTGCTAGACCTCTGGGATGGTAGGTTAATGTTTTGAAGAATGTGTGAGCTTTTTACTTCTCATCCATTTCTGATTGGGAGTTACTTCAGCTGAACCTCAGCTTCCACATCTGTTGAATGGAACTTATTCAATTATAATACTGATTTCATAGAGTCAATACTTTTGACTCTTCACTTCCAGTTGCCCCAACACATACACCACATACACACACACAAACACACTCACGTTAAGCAGGATGATGCCTCTTGTCAAGAAGTCTTACATTTACTAGGAAAAGTTTTGCAAATCTGCTTGTCTTTGTAAAACAGACAACATTACATAGAAAATTTCCTCTTTAGAGATAAAATAAAAAAAAATTCAGAAAATTTTGACAGCATTAACTTGAGATTACAGTGCAGTTTGTAAAATATCTTTAGTAACTTCTTTAACAGTGAACAATTTTAAGATATTATATCTTCACACTCATTTCTTTAAGTCAATAATCTTCCATCATGGAATGCTTTGTTATTTCTGAAGTGTTTAGGATTTGCATATCCTTGAGGCCTTACTCAGCTGGGTTACAAAAATTCATTCAGAGAGCATACACCTAGAATTTAATATGATCTCTCCTATTGTAGGCTCTGCATGTGACTCCACTTGATAAGCACTGGACTGTGAACCTCAAGGTCTATGGTTCGAGCTCATCAGTCACTCCATGGGAGAAAAATGAGGTTTTCTGCTCCTGAAAAGATTAAAAAAGTCATGAAACCCTACACAGTCAGAACCAACTCAAAGGTACTTAACAACAACTTCTATTTTAGATTCAGTGAGTGTGAAAAAGAGTTGAAACTCCCTACCTTTCTAAAATCAGGTGCTATGGTAGCGTAATTGTTATGAATTGGGCTGCTAACCTCATGGTCAGCAGTTTGAAACTACCAGCTGATCTGTGGGAGAAAGATGAGGCTTTCTGCTCCCGTAAAGATTTACAGCCTCGGAAACCCTGTACAGGGTCGCTATGAGTCAGAACCGACTCCACGGCACATAACCACCACCATCACCTTTCTAAAATCGTCACACAATATTACAAATGGGAGACATGTTATTGTTAGGTACCATGAAGTCAGTTCTCTTTCATAGCAGCACCACACACAACAGAAGGAACCACTGCTGGGGCCTTGCCAGCCTCATTGTCATTGTTCTATTTGAACACATTCTTGCAGCTACTGTCAATCTATTTCATTGATGGTCTTCCTGTTTCATGAATCCTTTTAACATGATGTCCTTCTTCAGGGAGTGTTCCCTCCCAATAACATACCTGAAGTATGTGAGACAAGTCTCACATCCTGGCTTCTAAGGAGCATTCTAATGGTACTTCTTCCAAGACAGACTAGTTTGTTCTTGATAGTCCATGGTATTTATAAGATTCTTTGCCAAT